TTTTTCTGTAGGTTTATGCTGGTAATACCAATTCTGCCATTTGTGAACTTTTCCACAGACGCCTCCCATCTCTTGTTCACCACACATAAATGCAAAAGGCTTATGGTCRTGTTACTGTGGCTTAGCAAGATGAACTTTAATATTGACCAAGGARACTAATACTGAAAATATTTTTAAATGCAGCAGCATTTGAAAACCCTTGTGGGAATTAGATTTTTGCACGCAAAGTGTGTTTCTTCTTTAGATGTAATTAGAAGAAAACAGTTATCAAGGTRTAGCTGGTTATTTTTGTGTTTTGAAGTGAATCTGTAAAGTGTGTGTATTTCAGTGAAATAGAACTTTGCTATTATAGCGTGACAAGGGAATCAGTAATATAAAAATTCTTTGTAGTTTTAGAAAAGTTCTGCTCTTAATAAGCTAGAGCCTTACTCAGCTACTAGAAATAAAAATATCCATGCAGGTAATTTTGTAGACTGACATTCTTCATGAAACACAGGTTAAACATGTAGAATTTTCTGATTGTTTCTGTAGAGTACTTCTCAACTTGATATGTGCTGAAACTATTAAGCAGTAAATCCACTGGCCAATTTGCTTAACAAATTTCTACTAGTGATGAGGAGGAAAGTGAAAAAACCCTGAATTATATGAGAAAAGCCTTTAATTTCTAGAATTCTGTATTAGGTAGGCATCGTTGTACTACAAATAACAGTACTTTGGATAATTATTACACTACATTACTGTGGCCATTGGGGCTCAAGTGTTAAGAGTTCAGTGATGCRATGGGCTCCTCATTACTCAAGAGATAGTTCTCAAAGAAAAGACCTGAACATCTCACAAACTTAGCTATGGTATTTGTGAACAATAAGAAATATTGCACAAAGTGTATTATTATCAAGCACTCCTTTCTAAGATAATCTTTCAGCTGTCAACATTTGTCTTTTTTTTCTAGTGTCAATGCTTTAGCTTGTGAGCAGAAAGATGAAATAATGRCACAGCTCCAATCAATTAGGCGACTGATGAAAGAAAGTGGATTGGATAAATCAGAAAACAAGATGAAAGGTACTTTAATTTTCAGACAAATAGATAACTAAGTAGTTTATATTTTGAATGAATACATCTTACTATAATAATGTTCAACTTCTGCACCATAGGTAGTTTGTGTGGAATTAGTTTTATTCTGGAGGAATAGCATTATTCTTGTTTGAGATATATCCAGTATCAAATTTGATACATCATCACTTAAGAATAGCTGCTAAAGACATTGAACTGGGATGGACCACATAGTCACATTCTGGTTTGATAAAACAGGCTTTTAGACTGTCAGTTCCTAAGCAGGCTGTTAGTACTGGACTAACTTTAGGCTAAGGATTTCCATATGGGGACCTCCAAGGCCATGGCTAGTGCTTGCATAAAAAACTAAACAGCAAATTGTACATTAGTTTCAACTGGAGACTTCCAAGAGCTGCATAGTAGCACAAGAGGAATCTTAAATATTAAGAATAGCTCATTAGAAATTTTGAGATTTTTTGGATTATTCGATTCTTTATAAAAGAAAAAAAAAAAACTACAAAAAATACTCTTCTTCTAAACTGACCCTGAAATTTAGAGCCTGTCCAGTAAACTTTCTTTTTGGTTACTTTTTGTGAATTTTAAGATCTTGGACACATTTGTAATGAGAAACTTGAAGATCTCATTCAGTCATTTGCTGAACATTCTCAAGAGAAAGATGACAACAGAGAAGATACAGAAGATGACTGTAATGAAGATTTGCTTGAGAATATTGATATTGATTACAAAATAGAAGAGCATGAATTACATGATGAATGTGAAATACATCAGTTGGAGCCAGATGTTATAGAAGATGAAGAAATGATAAGCAAAGATGCTGCTGAATCAGAAGAGATGGGACTGAGGAGACGCAATAGATACGAAAGGAATCTGCATATGTAAAACTTCCAAAGCTTATGAATTCTTTTTATAATGTTGTATGCACTTTAAACTGTTTGAAATGAAGTTATGTGCACTGCTATATGCTTTAAAAAGAGGGATGAAATACTGCCTTTGCTTGTATCTATGACAATTCTGTAACTGACTTCAGTGGCAGCAGAATTTTACTCAGGATGTTTACATATTTTTTCTATTTATTTTTCCCTATAAAAATATTTCTGTAYTCTGTATATAATGCACTGTAATTATATCTGATGCTTCACTAAAATATTAGAATATCTTCTAATTGAGACTATACAGAAATGTTTCATAATTGTTTTGTTACTAGTAAGCATTATGCTACTTGAACTGTGACTTTCTTGGGTGTATTAAAGAGCATGCACTGATGAATTCAGCTCTGTGTAAAATTTTTGAGGGTGTGAAAAGCAGTATGGGTTAAGTCCTTCAGATTCATTCATAGTTAAGTTTCTTTATTTGAAGAGAGAAATTTAGCCATGACTCTATATGAATATAATTATGTCTGAATTTGCAGTCTCTTGAGTAATGATGTAGTTTTGTATGTCAGTTTAATCCCTAATATATTACATTGTATCACTTAATTTCTTTCCCACTTGTCACTGGCTAAACGCAGCTGTCTGGCAACTGATTGATACCCCTTAGTACTGTATCTCTGTTTCACATTTATTTTAATACAATAGAATTTGGCCTTTTGGTTCATAGTAATACCCTTTTTTTTACATCAGAATTAACAGATGTATTGCTATGTACCGTTCAAGAACTGTGGGGAAGGGGATCTTTTTTCAATACACTATGCCAACTTGATAGTGGCCTTTTTAGGTCAGTATTAGGAAAAGCATTTATTTTCCCTTGCCAGAATAATTTTTGTTTACACCTTCCTTTTTGTACTCATTTTTTGTTTACCCAATGCACACACTTATTATTCTGTCAGCCTTTAATGACAGGAATTGCATTAGAGGTACATCCAACAGTACTGCACTGTTAATTTTTCTGTTTTATAATTGCATGGCTTTTAAGTAGGCCAGTTATGATGCCTGAACTCTTCTGCCATCCTCCTTACAGGAAAATAGCACGTGGATTTGTTTTTATAGAGGAAATGTACTGTACTTAAAGGGACTAAATTTATTATTGTGCCACTCACTAAAACAGAATGAATTGTTCATTCTGGTGTAGAAACATGGTGTGTTTGGTTCTAAAACTGGATCACAGAGGCTTGGAAGTAGCAGCATCCAGAAATACATCCTTAGCGTCAGTGTGTTAGTAGTTTTGCACTAAGTGAGATTTTGCCTAACTTTGGAAAATTGACTGACTACAAAGCCAGGGTTTCTCAAGAGGTGACAGATTTTTTTTTTTCCCCAAAACAGAATGGATGAATCAGAACTAGTACGTGGATACAATTTGATTTTTAAAAATACCTGATGTAGGTTTGGTCATTCAGGACAACTGGAACTGTTTGAAAAAAATCTTAATTGCATAGAGGCTTTTCTCTGAAATAAAGTGAACTGAAATTTCAAAGTCATTGGTCAGAGGGAATGATGGAGTGGGAGCCAGGCGTACAGCGCTGCCGAGGTGTTTGCAGGGTGCAGGTCAGACCTGCTGCCTTCCAGGCACTGGTGCCGCTGTCCTTTGTCGCAGCGTTTCCCCCCTGGGGCAGTGTTTGAATCATCACTGCTGTGGCTTTATCTCCACGAGTCTTCGGATGCTGTTGGCACTTGAACCCCTCRTCCGAAAGGCTCTGTGCTCCTCTGGTGATCGCTGTGTTTCTGGAGCAGGGCTAAAAGCACACCGTGAGCCCTTTCGCCGCAGTTTCGAAGTCGCTGATTCCGGCTGCTGGGGTTTGCCGAGGGCAGAATCAGTGTGATGTGTAATCAGGGTGATCAGCCTGGCGAGGCTGCGGGGGCCGCAGGACGGGACGGCCTGGCCCCGGCAGGGTATTTCCTTAGGAGCGATCGGGAATTTCGCTTCCCCGCTCCGCCCAGCGCACCTTGCCAAGCTGTGGTTGCGAGGCCTGCCTCGGATTGGCCCCTCCGCGCCGCTGTACCCGGCAAGTCCCGGCCCAGGCGGCGCGCCAGGCGGGCAGGTGGGGCGGGCACCGTGGAGACAGAGCGGGCCCGTGCGCCCTGGGAGAGCTCCGGTGAGACACAGCCCCTGCCTGCGAAAATGCATCATTTCCGTGGAGCTGCTGAGCTCACAATGTTTATTCCGCCTCTCAGAGCATTGCTGTTTGATAAAAGTAATCTCAGCGTGTGAACCATTACCATTGGGTACGATAATGAGCCCTCAGGTGGGAGGGAGGATGCTCCATTGCAGCCGAGGCTTGCGGCCGTGCGCCGGTGCTCTCCGTGCCCTGGGGAGGSAGGGCTGTGCGGGTGGCGAGTGCTGTGTGCCCAGCTCCGAGCCGGCCAGCCAGCCCTGCTCCTGCTCGGGAAAGGAGAGGGTGCTTGCGAGTGGAAACTGCTCAGTGCGGCCGGCCTTTGTTTTGAAAATGGAGTGTCTGATTGCTGGGAACTACACGACGGGCTTTTGGTTCAAATCTGGCTGGGTGGAAGGAGAAGCCAGGAGAGCAGGAATACTTGGTGGAATGTCACCCTGGAGCTCTCACAGCCTGGCCGTGTGCCGGGTGGGCCATTACGTCTTGCTGAAAATACCAGTTCCCAGGGCACTGAGTGATGGAGAGCCAAGCAGCAGCTGCAAGTGAAGAGTACAAAAGGTCTGATGTTGCCAAGGGGTAGCAAATTAATAATACTGGAATGAGAAAGTATCGATAAGTATAAGGGAAAGAGGAAGTTAAGCTTGAGGCAAAAACATAAATTAGAGTTGGAATCTGGTTAAGCATTTGCAATAAAGGACTGAAATTAGGAGGTGATGAAAAAAAGAAACCAACAGCATTTCATAGCTTGCTGAAGACAATACCAAAATTCTTTCTAATGCAGTGACTTTTTTCCCCCCGGAAGTACTTAGATAAAAAATACATGCTTTTCTCAATAGTATTTTCTGTTTTTTCAGTTTGTTCTGAAAGCTGTCATTGAATTTGCATGGATTCGGAAGTTAAAGGAGATGCTGCATCCCCTCTAAGGAAGGCTGAGTTGTCGTKGAGGGGGAAGAAATGTCAGGTGGTCAGTGGAAGGCATGTGATTGTTTTCCTTCTTTACATTTTTAAATAATTTTAATCATATTTCAGATGGTTTTTTAGTTTGGGGTTAGAAACGTTTCTATAGAGAAGACATCTTTTAAAGAAATCCTTTTTGCAAGAAAAGGATGTTTTAGTATGACAGCATTTCAAATAAGGGCAAGAAATTCCAGTGTAAACAGCTATCCTAAAATAACTGTTACTCTAAGTTCTTAATTGGAATGTGGGAAATTTAAGAATGCATTCCTACTTGGCAATTAAGAGCAATAGAGGCTTGAACCTGTACAGTGTGCTGTTTCAGGCTGTTGGTGAAACTGGTAACAGGTGTGTCTGTTTTTGTTTTTAAAGACAGCAATAAAACAATAAAGCAGCCCCCAAAATACAATTTGAAAAGGCATAATTTTAGATTGACATGAAAAATGTATCTTAGCACTCTCTGTTCTATATGAAGAGGAATTTTGTCTTCCAGGTATTCCTAACAGTCTATGCTTTGAGGTAAGGTAGGTATGCAGTCCTCACAAGATCATTAGAGCAGAAACTTTAGGGCTAACTTTTGAAAGTCCCTACAAATACAATCTTGGATTCTGAAAGCCATTATTTTTCTTACTGCTAAGGTAAATATTAATATTGTTAGCAGTTAGCAGTTGATTTTTCTCACAGATGCTGTATACTTTATGTCCATGAACTAAAGTTAATTGCTCAGCCCCCCAGCACCTATTTAACTTCCTTATTTATTGCATGACCCCATTAGGAATTCTTGGAGTTTGACTGCCAAGTTGCTGTTCTTTTCAGTTTGATTTGGAATGAAAAAGGACCTTTTGTAAATGATAACAACATCAATGTATAATGTTGCTGTTAATATTTTAATCAGGTTTTTGAAAATTAAATACCTGTGCACAACAAGAACGTTTGGGGCATTTAGTGTAGCCTGTAAAAGAAAAGAAATGTAATTTTTTCTCTAATTTCTCATCCCCCCCCTTTTTTTTTTCTTTCTCGTGCAACTGAGTTTCCAAATTTAGAATCCCTAAGCCACATGATTCTTGGTAGTTTGAGACATAATTCTTAAATTAAAATTAGGTTGAAACCATGTGCTTCACCCCAATATTCACTATGTTTTTTGTTTGCTTTCTTCCCGATTTCTTGACTTCTAGAAAAGGGATTATATTAAGGCTTAATTATGTCTTCACCACAGTTGAAATGGTACAGAAAAAAGATAAATGTGAGATTTAATGCGTTGTTTTTGATGCCTTGACGGTTTTACTTAAGTGACCACATGGTGGCGGTGACCATTGCCAGCGGAGAACTCTTAAACGTGGATACCTGTACTCGCGTTCTGAAGTCACTAGAGGGTAGTGATGGCGAATTTCTGTTCCGGGAGCAGCTACAAGAGAGCATGGCAAGAAAGCAGTTACAGTTTTGTGGTTGCTCTCTCATCGTGAGAGATGTTCAGGCACTGCTGGAAATAGGATTCTGCTCAGTTCAGGCTGTGATGCTGAGATTTGTGAGCTCAAAAGTGTGAAAACAAAAATGTTGGCTCTGGTTTTGAACGTTCCCAAGCTTTTTTTTTTTTTTTTCGGATTGGGCGGCCAGTTCGGTGAATTGTTACTTTGTGCTCGCCACAAGCACCCTTCCCTTTTGCTGCTAGCTGTTTGCAGAAAGCCATAGGGGGTAGAGGAAGCTCTAGTTTGAGTATTTTTTTTCTTGCCATGTTCTTGCTCAGTTGAGTTTGGAGATATGTGTGGTATGCAGCCTTGCAAAAAAAAAAAAAATCAAGTGAACTGCCCAGTCATCATCACGACTGCTGTACTAAAGCTGTGATGAAACATTTACACCAAGTATCAGGGATCCCTTGGAGTCTGAGCTAGCTCCTTGTGAGCCAGCTGGCTATCTTGTGGGTTTCGTTTAAGAGTTGGTTCCCAACCAACAAGGACAATGTGACTTAAAGCCTTGTGTGCAGTGATGGTACAAAGCCTCAGAAACATGGATTATTTTTAATGTATTATTAATAGCGGATGTGGATGCTTTCTAGATTCTTAATGGCTGGAAAACTTTCTGTCATGATGAATATTCAGTCTTTAGTCTCATGATGCGTAAGAATTAGCTTTCAATGAGAAGTTTTTGTTTTTTTTTCACTGTTAATAGCATCTTAATCAAGTATGTTGGACAGATACTTTGAGCCATTAATTTTAAATATTTCAGGGGAAATTGAAAGAGAGAACCATGTATTTTAATCCAGATCCTCTAGGCATGTAATAATGTGTCATTCTTTTAGGGCTGGAGACCAAATAGACAGGCTACTCACAGTCCTCACCCACCAGAGTAAGTCTGCTTCTATTTTTGATCATCTTGTTTAATTGTGTGCATTATTACACAATGCATGTGCATTTGTAGTGACGTGCAACTTAGTGTTCCATGAAATTTATCATCATAAGTTTGTTTTCTGTGATTTATATTTGGAGTAGAATATTTGATGCATTATTTACATTGGAATTAAGTTGATTTGCATTTGGCTGACTGGAGGTGTAATCACAGAATGGCTAAAGATGGAAGAGACCCCACAGTGGATCCAACCCACTGGGCCATGTGGTCCAACCTCCCTGCTCAAGCAGGGTCATCCCAGAGTACCTTGCACAGGACTGTGTTCAGATGGTTCTTGAATGTTTGCAGTGAGGGAGACTCCACAACTTCTCTGGGTAATCTGTTCCAGTGCTCARTCCACCTGCACAGTAAAGGAGTTCTTTTTCATATTGACGTGGAACTTCCTGGTTGTCAGTTTCTGCTCATTGCTTCCTGCCCTGTTGCTGGGTATCACTGAAAAAAATCCTGGCTTCATCCTCTTGACATTGTCTCCAGAGGGTGTCACTCAGAGCTTTCACATTTATGCATTGTTTTTCTTGAATCTGTTTAATATGTCTTCAAAAGGAGAAAAACTGTCTTTTACTATTGACACTTTTACAGGTATTACAGTAAACAATACAGAGAAACTGTTGTGAAGGGCTTTTACAAGCAATGGGAAATTTTGTTTGTGGTTTTAAAATTTAAAACCTTATGTGACTTTGGCAGATAAGGAACATCCACACATCCAATGACAATGTTTAATGGTTCAGGCAGTTTTGTTTACTGAAATGCCTTAAAGCCAGTGTATCTTTCTCCATTATTTTATATGTGTATCTGACCATGACCTTTGATTGTTCATACCAAAGTAAAAAAAATTCAATTTTTGTRTACTCTCTGTCATTTTCTATTAAAAAAGACTGCAAAATAACAAGCTCTCTTATTCCAAGAATTTAGAATAGAGTTGCATATTGGTGGTAAAATATAAAAAATACATATTCATGGTGCTCTGCAATATACATGGAGTTAAGGAAGAAGGCACAGAGATGCTTTGATGAATTGGAAATGTTTTTAATTTCTTTAAGCAGAACAAAATATCGAGATATGGTTTTCTTCCACTGTGTTAATATCTCACAAAAATTTCAGAAGATTTTCATCCCAAGTAGCGATTGCTTTCTTATTGCCTCTCGGTTGACTGATTATAGAGCAATGTTGACATGGACCTGCTGTGGAAGACAAGAGTAAGATATCCCTGATTTATGATTTTGTTGCAGTAGCTCCAGTTGGGGAGTGAAGAGAAGCCAACGCAGGAATAAAGAAGGGTCCTTTTTGGCTGCCARTGTACTCTGCTGCTGGGGAAGAGAAGCTCAGTGGCCACTTGCTTATTGTTAGCAAGAGGGGCTAATAGAGGTTTGCTGATTAGGCCATATCCAGTTGCAGGGAAATTTTTGTGAAGGGTCTAATAATAACTAATAGGCAGTGCTTTTATTATATCTAAAAAATAAGGGAATGTATTGCTGTTAAAATTGTTTTAACTCCCTGCAGKGTGCCATGCCTAGATCTAGGGAGGCTGAGAGATTCTGATGAAGAGGTAATTGTAAATTAATTATTTCTCAAATAGTTTTTAGAATTCACATGTTTCAGGAGTTTATAAAAGTATCAYTCGAAATGTAAAAACAATTATGATTGCTTGTCCTTTTTTGTCTCTGATTTTAGGATGGAGACTCTTACATACTGTATACTCCAAGTTGTTCTCATGGGTGCCAACTAGATTCATCTTCAGATTGGTGCTCCATATGCACCGCATCAGCATGTCAGTCTGTCACTACAAATATCTTTATAATAYACCCTTTAAGCAGTAATTTAGAAAAATGTACATAGCTTTTCTTATGTACTTTTTTTTTTCCTTTTGGTTAATCTCCTATCTCCAAATGATGTTGGTCCGAAATATTTTTAGCTAAGTCCTCTTACTGAGATTTTTCAGAATATGTAGAAAGGCCTGTTTTATTGCATGGCTTAGCTCTTTGTTGATTGATACATTTACCCTTTGTTGTACTTRTTTTTGAAGAGATATATTAATGGTAGTAATAATAAAGATTAGTAGTAGTAAGTAGTGATTGAAGACAAAACCTGTGTTTACAAATACTAAGTATTATTTCTATGGAAGAATAGTTCTTTCTGGTGAAAACTTTGGCAGTTACTTGGAGCCATGTCATAGTGTTTTTGTTAGGGCTTTTGTCTTTAAAACAGTACTGTGACATAAATTTTGGAATTATGTCTAATTTGTCAGTGCTCTTTTATTGTTAAAATTTCCTCATCACGTTAGCATTGTTTCCCTTGGATGACTAAGAAACTTAATCACCACTAGTCTGAGGTGTTTTATAAGGAAAATCAGTAACCCAGATGTTAACATTCTGATTTACAGTATTGTTCAGGATCAATACCCACTATAATAGTGGTAAGAGTTAATTTAATTTTTCAATTATTACACTTCACTGAATGCAAGAAAATAGCTTTTCTAAACTCATATCTGAATGAAATGTGAACAAAATGAACGTGACAATTTTTTATTTGATCATGGTACATATTAATTCCTGTTTTCCTTTAAACAGGTGTCTAGAAAATTTTGTCAGGACAAAATGGAGGTAAATTAGTTGAAAAAATACAGACAAAAAGCATTATCAGTTCAGTACTATGGTGCATGGTCTGAAAATGTAATATGTTTTACTTTCTTTTATGGACAGAAACTGGCTTATTGGAGAAACTATTAAAAGATACACTAATAAAAAGTATTTTTTTTCAAAAGTATTTAACTTGTATTAACCTAAGAAATATTCAAATGAGTGTTTAAAAAACCCACCAGAATTTTAACTAGAGGGAAAACAAATTTTAAATTAATTTGTACATAACCTGTGCATCTTGAAACAAATAATATTGTAACTTGAAGAGCAGAACTCCAGATTGGCTGGAGTTGAAGGTGAATCTGCCAAGATCACTATTTTGTATGTTTCCCTATATAAGCAAATGGTTTCTCTACTTGAAAAAACAATTTCAGTAACATTGAAATGGTGTTTTCCTGGTAGTTTTAAAATAATATACTAAGAATGTACTAGTTTTTAGAATATGTGTCCAACATAGGTATTTATACRTGTCTTAAGATGTAACTGTAAACATGTAAGTGCAGATAGGTTGTTTTCCTTTCTACTGCCTTGTAAATGTGCATTGCAAACATACTTGAGTTACTGTGGCCTTTTTGGRTCTTCATGGTTATGATTTCATTGCTTGCTTTCCCCTTTTTTAAAAAATGAAGTTCATATGTATCATTATGTCAAGCTGCAGGAGTGCTAACAGAAGGTTGGTGTGGCTTTGTTTGTTTCTCAGGGTCTTTTCTTTCTTTTCTGCTTTTCTTTATCTCTTGTTGCTTCCTTTCTCCCTTCATTATGTCCGAAATACTGAGTGCTCAATGTGCTGGAATATATCTTCTGTTTACTTAACCCTTCTTTGCTTTCTCTCCGTTCCTGTCTACCTGTCTCCCTCTCTCCTTTTCCCTATTTTTGCCTGACTACTCCACCCTCTTTTTTTTTTTTTTTTTTTTTTTTTTTTTTTAAGTTTTTCAAGCTTTTTTTTAAGTTTTAATGTATTCCTCTGAGCGGCCTTTATTTCTGCATTGCTTGCTTCTGGGGCTCTGATCAAGCTTTCCTTTAGCAAGACAGAGTCCAGCTTCTTCAGTAACTGTGTAAGTAAATCTTCCTAAAACAGGTCACTGTTGGAAGAAAAATTTAAATATACTCTTGTAATTCAGGAATTAACCAGCGAAGGCATGTGAATCCTCTTTTGAAAAAGCAAGTTGGCAGTTCAAAAAACATAAATATTTTTGGGTTTAGAGAAATGGTTTTCTAGAGCAGCACTGTGACATTGTTATTGCAAGATGAGTTGCAACTGTTGAGTAGAGATGCCAGACAAAGCCACCTTACTTTCGTTAGCCCTGAAGGAATATAATATTAATATTAGCACCTTAAATATTAAAGATATTAGTTATTCAGGGAGACAGAAAAGGATGGAATCTTGGATTTCTGTCATTGCTGCTCTTTCTATTGATCCCAGCCTCTGTTGTGTAAAGCCCTGAAACAGGTGTGAGGTTAGAAAGGTGCTTAGCTGTGCAGCTGGTACTGAACAGTGTCCCAGTACTCTTCTGCCGTGCAAGAACTGGCTGAAAAACATCCACCCACCCATTTTCAGTCATCCAAAATCAAATGTCACATTTTCCATTGTAGTGATGTTATAAGGCAGAACCACTTATCTGACCAACCAAGGAACCTGAATTCTTTCTTGAAAAGTGATGTAAAGAAATTATGTACTTTTTATATTTAAAATTGGTAGAATTTGAAGAACTCTATGAAAATTAAACCTGAATATGCTGTCCTGTTTGCATTTTTTCTTAATTTGAAGCATCATGTCAAGAAGTTTCAGATGTTATACTGGGTAGAATTAAAATAATGCTGTTCTCATTCAGTAGACCAGCCASAGGCTTTTGTATTGATTACTCATTGCTTTAACATTCTGTTTTGGAGYAGAAGACAAGACCAGAAAACCTGCCGTCCACCACAGACAGATACAAACCGAAGAATGGTCAGTATGAAGCAGAGACATCAGCCAAGCAGCATCCTCAGACAATTGCAGAAAAGAAGAAAGATCACCTCCGGTGTCCAGACACTTCAATAAAGGTAGCTGGCAAAATAGAAATTGCATTTTTAGATTGCAAATGTATATCACTAATTACACTTTTTGGAAAGGTTTGCACATGTGTGTAATTAATTTCATGTTTTTAGAGTAAAGAAATAAAAACGTGATTTCAGCATCTAATGGTGAGGAGGAAATAAAATTAAGAAGTTTCTGTTGTTGCAGAGAAACTGAGGTGCTCTGAGAACTTGTGTTCTCTGGTAAGGTAGGCAGCACTGGTCCTCATAGTGCACCTCCAGCCTTAGCATGAAGGTATAGCCTATAAGAAGAGGAGAGACAGCAGGAAAATCTTGGTGAAATGTTGTTTCCAAAACCAGAAATTCATCCAAGCCATTTTATTTTTTACATGTAGGAGGATTTTAATTATTATTCTTTTAAATTGTGACTGTACACAGGACTTAAAAAAGGAGAAACGAAAGATGTTACTGTTCCTTATAGAACTACTAACACTGAAAATGCAAAGTTATATGGGGTTAAAATAATGAAAGATATTATATGTACTTTTTGCTTTGATGTTGTATGAGRTTCCATACAGCTGTACTGCAAGCTGTATTAATTCTGCCAGGTTTCTTTCATGATTTTAAATTAAAACTAAGGTGCAAAGATGAGATCAGTAGAGAGAAACTGGAGAACAAAGGGGTGAAAAAACCCAGCTTTCATCTTGTTCTGGAGGAGATAGCAGAGGAGGGTGGTTGAGCAGGGAAAGATGCATCATTGTTGGTGTAAGGAAGCAGGAAACCTAAGTAAGCAACAACTGGGATTGGTTGAATGCTAGATTCTGCTGAGGGTATATGACCATTTAAGATTCTTAATGAAAAAGTATGCAGATGTTGATGGAACATACTGTGCTCATTGCTTTGATAGCAAAAAAGATTTGTGATAAATAACTATGAGTTTATTGATTTTACTTTCTTAGCATTCAGTAGAACGAAAAGGGAAGGTCTTAGATAAGACCAAGATTGTTTCACATACTGTTGATAGCTTTAAAAGAGCTTTCTCCTCTTGTAGTCGTGCTTCTAATGATCAGAAAAAGGACAACCTGAAAAGCCTATTAATAAACTTTCTGTGGATAAGAGCTGAATAAAAAAAAAGSTGAGTTATTTTGTGATTTAGTTTTATGTTTGGTGACAGTTAAGATTGTCTGTTTTGGAGATTTGTTGTAGTTTGTTTTGGTTTTTTCTTTCTTTTAATGATTCCACTTTAATGTRGCAGTCTGACACTGTCATATCAATCTGTTTTTCAAGGAGTGAGTCCTTTATATGCTTTATTGGAAGCCCATCAAAAGGGCATTTACAGGAGCAGCCAAGTTTATCTGAAAATAGGTGGCAAGTGTATACTGGGAGAGAAAAAGCAGGACTGGCTTTTTTTCTGGTAATTTTGGATTCCAGGAAGATACTTGCTAAACACTAGAAGCATCTGTGTCAATTCTTCTTACAGATTTTAATATAAKGTCTATCAGAACAATTTTTTTTTGTGATATTGTCAGTACCCTATTAGCTGGATAAATCAAAAGATTTCAATACACTTGTTTTACTTTATTAGTGGAACTTGTAACAACATTTGTTTTCTGGAAAGAAGCTGCTCATGGAGGAGATTGCTAATGAAACCTACTCTTACAATTTCTTTCCTATGTTACCTCCCTCCTGAGTTTTGTAAAAACATCCTGTATACTTTTTTTTTTTTTCATATCTTACATGTAGGCGATATTTCCATAATGTCCTGGGACTGGTTTACTAGTTTGTTAGAACCAGTTCAGCAGCATCCTTTGGCTTTTCCTTGTCTAAAGTATATTTAACTTCTTCACTGGTCAAAAAACGGTATCTCTGCAGTGAACTTTGAGCCTTATATCAAAAAGCAAATCCTCTGCTTCCTCTTGGCTGTTCTTGAGGAGAACAGAAAATGGATGCATTCTTGTCTTCTCAGAGATACTAGAGTCTGCCTTCTGTGACTTGCTGCTGTTTCTTCACAAAGCTTGTAGGAACACCGTATTTTTGAGATTTTTTATTAATTATTTATTTCAGCAGGAATGAAAACTGGTAAGTATTCAAAAGATATAAATCTTGTTCTCTATTCTTTCCTTAAAAGTTTGGTTTCTGTAGAAAAGGCTTAAAAAAATTCTCTTTTGATTAGAATGAAGCAGAAATAGATACTTTAAAGAAGAAAGAAAGAGAGGTACTTTAAAATGTTGAAAATGTGTGTGGATTTTTTAGTTTGTTTTTATTACAATTAATTAAATTTGTTTTATGAAAAGAATGTATTTTTGTATAGGGTACACAGCTTGAAGATGGACATAATGATGAGTTTATAACTTGTGATCAGAAAGCTCTCCTGCAACAATGCTACACAAACAAGCCTTATAACATGCAGCACAATATAAGGAAATCAGAAGCTGTAAGTATTTTGACTGGTATTATGGTGCTAAGCACCTAGACATGGAGAATGACTTCCCAGATGTTCAACAGAAGTTACACCTCTGGGGATTTGGGTCTGGTAACTAATTGAAACCCATTGAAATCATGTGAGTTAAAATATTTCTTTCAGTGGGAGCTGAACTGAGCAGTCCAGTGAGCATTTTTTAAATCTTGCCTGCAATGCTTGTATTTTATGCGGTGATATACATAAATGGGAATGCAAATTATGAGTAATAGATACAGATATATACAACAAAGAATTACAGGGAGTTGATAGATTAAAAAGAATAGCAGGGAGTTGAGTGAACCTAAACATACGTTACATTCCGGGCTAGGAGCTGGATTTTGATCCCTGTGGGTCTCTTCCCACTCAGGATATTCTGTGATTTCCTCTGATCTGTAGCTTTTAGCTGAGCTTGTATACCGTGGTCCATGGATTCCATGGAGTATTAAGCCATGAGAAATATAATGATTTTTAAAAGTAAATAGCAATTTTAATTCATTTTATTTGCTCATCACTATGCTCTGAATTTTGCATCATTGCAAGCATTTATTTGATTTCTAGTCTTGTTGAAGTGAATGCAGATGTTGCACTACTGAGGTCACTATTCATTTTCATGATAAGAAAATCTTTTGAGAAAGTACTGAAGCTTTTATTTTTAGAATAAAGTAAAAAATCTATACTATAGACTGACGATAATGGAAAAAAATCWTGAAGTATCCCTAGAGTAACTACTTAATGCTACAGCAGGTACAGTGAAAGCACTGAGAAAGGGAGCAGTGCAGAACTAGAAAACAGAAGTTATTCTGTAGCTGGCATGCTTTAAAATAAAGCCAGCAGGTGTCTGAGCAAGTTTTTACTGGGACCTTCAGAAGCCCTTTTGTAATTGATGAGCACTCACGGTTACACAGGCTGACTGTCTTTTGAGGGTCATCTCAGGCTCTTCTAGGTTCAAGCTTCTGATAGTGGTAGGAATACTGGAGAAAATTGGCAGCGGTAACTGCACATATATTAATTCCATTCTGTATATGTTGCCTCAATTGTTGGCATTTGATTTTAAGGTGCAATTAAATTTTGTTTAAGAATATACAATGTGAACGTGTTCTTTAACAGTAATCATTACCAAAAAGTCCAATGTTAACAGTAGAATTTCTCATTATTTTTCTATGGTTTGGGATGAAAGTTCATTAGTGGGGTTCTGCAGGGTTCCATCTTAGACCTTGTGCTCTTCAACATCTTCATAAATGATGTGGAAGCAGGACTGGAAGGGATACTGAGCAAATTCACAGATGATACAAAACTGGGAGGAGCTGTTGACTCCCTTGAAGGCAGGGAGGCCCTGCAGAGAGACCTCAACAAATCAGGGGTTGGGCAATCATCAACCATGTGAAGTTCAACATGGGAAAGGCCTGAATTCCACCCTGGGACAGGGAAATCCTGGATGAACAGACAGACTGGKGAATGAGRGKMTGGAAAGCAGCRCCACTGCCCCTCTGGAAAGGGACTTGGGGGTCCTGGTCGATGGCAAGGTGAACATGAGCCRGCAGTGCCCTGGCAGCCAGGAGGGACAGCYCTGTCCTGGGGGGCATCAGGCACAGCATCGCCAGCCGGGCAAGGGAGGGGATTGTCCTGCTCTGCTCTGACCTGGGGCAGCCTCACCTCCAGTGCTGGGACTGCAATATAAGAAAGATATAAAGGTGTTAAAGTGTGTCCAAAAGGGGACAACAAAGATGGTGATGGTCCTTGAGGGGAAGCCTTGTGAGGAGCAGATTGAAGTCACCTGGTTTGTTCAGCCTGGAAGAGACTGAAGGGAGACCTCATGGTAGTCTTCAATATCCTCATGAGGGGAAGAGGAGTTGCAGATACCAATCTTTTCACTCTTGTGACCAGTGACAGGACCCATGGGAATGGCCTGAGTCAGGCGTGGTTTAGGTTGGATATCAGGAAAAGGTTCTTCACCCAGTGTATGATTGGGCACTGGAACAGGCTCCCCAGGGAAATGGTTACAACACCAAGCGTGTCAGAATTCAATCTGCGTTTGGACAATGCTCTCGGGCACATGATGTGAGTCAGGGATGGTCCTGTGTGGTGCCAGGAGTTGGATTTGATGTTTGTAGGCCCCTTCCAGTTCAGCTCATGCTGTGATTTTGTGACTCATGTAATTCCATGAGTCCATGTGTAATTCCTTATAGATGTGATGCATAACCTCTGAAGAAGGTTGTTTTTCACTGAATGGTCGTATTTAAGGAACAACTGTTGCTACTTTTTTACCTGTGAGAGCTGTTGCAAGTTCAGTGTTTGCCTTTTCCCTCTGCATTTTTGCAAATTCTTAAGTAGAGCATCTGTCCAAGAACAGAATGGAAGATGATTCATGGAAGATTGTTGACCTAATATTCAATTGAAGTTTAAGGTGGAAGGCATTTTTTGCTTGGTGTTTTTAGAAATCAGATTCTTTTCAGCATGCTAACTAGTTTGGATCTGTAAGCCAGGGTTCATGGACAAACATTGCTCTGTATTATCGCTRTGTCCTCCTTTACATCATGCTTTTTAATATATCTGTCGCAACAGTTAATGGGCAAAGAATTAATAACTCAGAATAAAGCATCCTGCACTTCTGATAGGTGCAAAACTGAAACATGAAAGTAAACTAAAAAGCTCCCTATCTCCTGTAATTCAGACATCTTCTAAGGCTTAAAATAAGTTTGGAATAATCAACAGCCTGGTCTGGTGTTACATTAGTTAATTGTTTTTTTTTCAGTTGGACTTTTTTTTTTTTTTGGATAGTGCCAATCAGCATTTATGTGAAGATTGTGAATTTGACCCATAACATCTCTGTGGAATTAGGAGTTATCTCTTACAGGTACTTGGGATCCTTTCAGTTCTTCTTCATCCATGCAAAGGCTTGGATTTCAAGCTCATCTCTCTAGAGTCTGGCTTGCACGCAAGACCAATTAGAAAAGTAGCTGAATTCTGTAGCTTCAGAATATCTTCTGGGGCATCCTCTTATGCTTTGGTTTCTCTCTATGTAACAGGTTGTGATCAATGCTGGCACACGTTACAGTGAATGGCACAAGGTTATGGTTCAGTGTTACTCTAATAAAAATAAGAAGATCATGTTAAATTCTCTTTCCTCTTTAGGATGATATTTCCTGAAAGGTTTCACAGATTGGCCTGTCTCAGCAGAARATTATTGTGGCATGCAGGAAAGAAAAATCTTGCAACTGAGATTAAGTCTTAAAAGATTTTTTTTGACTAAATATTGCTGGAGGTSAAGTTTCCTTCTCTTAGTTGGAATCTGTGTCAACCATAAAGCCTGGAATAATGTGAATTTCCTCAGGCTCTGTTGTACTTACAGAATGTATTGGAAACAATACAGAAATAAGGATTTTGTCTGTCAGCTTCAATACTAGAATTCTCACACTTATTACAACTAATATCCATAGACAAATCGAGTGTGTAGCAGAGAATATTATATGTCTATTTTTTATGCAAACAGAACTCTATGAAAAATGTAAAAAAATATAAATTGTGACATTGTTAAGTTTGTGACCTCTGTATGCTATCTTAAAGGATAATTTACTATTTGAAGTGCCTGCTGTTACATACTTCCATTGTTCTCAGACAGTTTTTCATTGCAGGAGGATGTTGCTGCAGAGAGGAGAAAACAGGCTGTTGTAGAACAAGTTATGGTGGATCAGTTATGTAGGTAATGGCTTTATGATGTAAAGTTTCAGCTTTCTGTACAGAAGAATTTAGATCTGTGAATGTGTGGCTTTTCTTGCTTAAGACGTGTTTGGTCATCTTGTTCCAAGTCTTATTAAATCTTACATAGTACTATTATCTGCAAAAGCTCTTTAAATGAAAAATCTTTTAAATGCAACTTTTAAGTATCAGTTTAAAGTGCCATGTGTATGTAAATTTTTTTTCTGGAAATAATTTTTAATTTTCTACTAGTACCTATTTTAAGGGCTTTAGAATAGCACTAGCTCATGAAAATACCTCTCTTGCACATCAAGAAAATACATGCATGGTGTTATAAATTACACTTCTTCAATATTTATTGTCTTTTCTAAAAATCTTAGCTTTATTAATATTTATTAATTCTTTATTAATACTGACACAGCACCTTTCAGTCATAAAGGGCTATTACACCAACGCTGGGCGTGTTGTATAACAGGCAAAGACCCTGTTATAAATTGAGTGGATCCAGGCTGTTSAGATCTCCTGTCTTCATAGCTATCCGTTTAGCTTCCAGAAAGCATTGCTTCTGTGCAGAAAGATCCCTCTATTTTAAGCATGCTTTAATAATTCAGGGCTTTATGCAAGCTGTCTAGTTATGACAATATAGCAAGATGCAAGCTAGTTTAATATAGTTGTGTGTTACTTTACACTTACTAAAAATTATCTATGGGTATCTCTAGATTATTTTGCATTCTGTGCATAGTTTACAGTCTCTGGAGTCATCTGCACTGGTGCTCCAGTCCTTCAGATCCAAGAATTTGAGGTTRAAATGTTGTTGCACTTCACTATTTTAGTTCTTCTTTGTTTCTGTTTCAATGGCAGTTTAAATTACCTATATTATTTAACAGTCTATTAATRGTTTTATCCTATTTAAAAGCTGAGATGACAAGAAGGTTACCTGAGGGAAACAATTGTCTCAAAACACAATGCTAAATTCCAAGTATCATTTAGCAGGATTAAAATTATGGAAYTATACAGGGTAGAAATCCCCAGTTTTCAAATAAATGCTTGGCCTGTGTCATATCCTTTTAAAGATTATTATGGAGATGATCTTAAAAATACGCTGGTTATGTTGAAGTGTTTCAGTACTACTGATGTTGCATTAAATGTCCAGCTTTCTGCATCTTGAGTCATGGATGTCCRTTCTGTGTTTAACCTCCTTCTGCTGCTTTGCCTTATTTTCTCCACGTATTCCTTCTCCTACTCTGGAGCCTTCTGTTGGTAACATCAAAACAATATTCAGTAGTGCTGCAGCTGCACCAGAATGAAGTTTTAATTTAAAAAATCTCTCTGTTTATGTTCCAAATATAACTCTGCCAGTACTTCCAAACAAATTGGTATCAGATATCAGGATGTTAATCGGAAAAGATTAGTTCAAAACTGTTTCATGAAAAAAACTGTTAAAGGAAACACAAAGGTGTTTTGAATATTTTTTTAGTAGAGCAAGTCTTCCAGTTAATCAGTATAACTGATGTGTACAAAGATGGATCTGTATAGATCAGAGAGCAAGTTTAGAAAACTGTAATAGCCATGCAAAATTATTTTTTTCCTTCTGATAACAAACCATTTCAATAGAATAACAAGCACCTCATTTATTTTTAAAGGGTCTCTTCTTTTGTGTACTTGTTAAACTGATACTGAGAATATCAAAATGTTCCAAAACCAGTTCCTCTATTTATTTTCTGCTTGTTGGGGGTTTGAGATCCTCTTGGCTGTGTAGTCAGTGCTTTGAGGGAGGAAATGCCAGTGTTTTTGTTGGATGCAGATTGGGTGGAGCTCTGAGCACCTGAAAGGTGCTCCTGCCCAAAGCATGGGGGTTGGAACTAGAGGATCTTTAAGATCCCTTCCAACCCAAGCTATTCTGTAATTCTCTGATGGTGTCATTGGCCAGTATTAGTAACTGAAATCACTGCTATTGGAGGGAGCCATGGTTAAAGAATGTAATTGCTGGAATATTTTAAGAAATAGTGGAAATGATGAAAAATCCCACAAATCTTCAAAATACTAAGATTTATTTTATATTAAGAGATATATACTTTAAATAATACATGTCTACATGTAACATTACTGCATAGTAGTATACTGACAGAATATTATTGCATATGTTTGATTTTGAGAAATAGACTCAAGAATTTGTAAAAACAAATGAAAAATTAGGCCCACAAATTCATGCAATCTTAATGGATTACTCCAGGGTTGGATTACTGTAGTATTCTTGGGTGTTTTCTTTCTGAGTAAGAATATTTAAGACCTGAAATTCAGCCATACTAATAGAGGACTTCTCCCTGCTCTTTGTGGTCAGAGCTGTTATAAGTGATCCAGAGCAGTCCACACATTCTGATGCTTGCAAGGAAGCTCAAGGACTTCTGGGAGTTGGGACAGCACCAATGYGTTTTAGAAAAAGGACACTCCACGAAACGAAGTAAGTTTGTTGAAAAACATTTTCTGCTGTATTTTTTTTTTTTTGGCACTGTGAAGTCTGTTTGCCTTTCCAGATGTTTTATTTTTGGCTTGGATCCACCAGCTTAATGGGAGGCCTTTTTTGTAGCCTTCCTGTGCTTATTATTGCCTAGTGAGATAACAGGGACCTTTTTATGTGGATTCTCTGTGTGTTATGATTGATTCATAGAGTTTATGAAACCTGGGAGAATATTGTTAAGTTTATATTGATATTATTCATCACAAGGTTTTGCCAGCCTTTTCCAAACTGTAGGATGCTTGCAATCCTGTCATATCCTTTTAGAGATTCCTATCCTAGAGATGCATAAATTGCATAAATATGCATCTGTAAATCTAATGTAGATCTTCACAATATAATCAGACTTTTCTTTCATGTTTTGATTTCTGCTGCAATAATTAACCCTATTGGCATTTAATTGACATTCCTGGACTATCAGCATTGAATTAGTAACTCCAAGGGCTTAAAAAAAAACCCAAGCAAACACTGTGATCCATAAAATAAAACAAATCTTCAGGTCTGAGTTTTATTCTGTTATTTTTTCTCAATGTTCAGGCAGGCATCTCTGCTTTGTGCATTTTAACATCCYGGTCTAAAGCCTTTCTCATCAAATGGCATCAATGTATTTTTTAATAAAAAGACAACAAAACCAGTCTCAATTTCTTGTATCCATCACATAGACATATCTATATTCATACATATCCATCACATTTCTGAAGCTAGTAATAGCATCAATATAAAATATTTAGATGGGTAAAGAACACCCTAACCTGGGTATTTTTGCAAGAGAACATACTGATTCATGGAAGTTTGGTGAGTGGTAGAGGTTTAATTTTTTATGTCAGTGTATGTAAACAAAATTTCCCATTCATATCTATGCTGTCTGTGAATGTACTCTCATATTATATAATACCAGAAGACTTTGCAACTCTGAGTTGCTTTCTAATTCAACTACAAGGGATTATCTCCTCAGCCAGTTGCCAAGGATACYGTATTTCATGTTTTTGCTGTTTGGAAATGGTTGATTTTTATGTAACGTTTATCTGTGAGCATATAGGTATCATGAACATGCTGCATTATTTTCACAGAATAAGGACCAAAACAGGACTAACTGAGAACATGCTCTCCAACAAGCTACGCTTTGATAGTAGGATTATATCGAGGTAATCACAAATTTTGTGAAGCTTTTCAATTCTGTGAATTTTTAAATGATGGTATTTAGTCTTTTGAACTACTTAATTGCACTGAATATTTCTGCTCCCTATGCTGAAGAAGAAAAGTATGTGTGGGTGTACATGTCTAGTACAAATTTTGACATGGCTGATGGAAAGTGGTTTCACAGTTCCATTGTACAGTGTTAAGATCTGTAAATAATAACCCATAGCTCTATTCAGGACAGTTAACACTGGGGCTGTGTAAAACAGTGCTGTTAGCTTTTGCATCTCAGTTGATTAAAATTATTTTTGCCTTGTCTTAGATGTGACAACTACTATAATTGGAAAGAAGGGCTTTGCAATTTGTTCATAGCTCCTTATGTATTAAATTGTAGAACATCTTTGAAAATGTTCTGATTTGAGTAGTGGTGGCATAGACATTTTTCAGTTCTGAAAGTGATGTTTTTCTGCAGCTGTGATTTGTGTACTTGTTAGACACAGCAGAGTATTCAGCAGCATAATTTCATATACCTCAATGAATGCAGTAGTCCTGCTGTATGTAATCCTTTAGTTAAAGAGTGAAAATTATATTGGGTATCCTAAAACATGARGCCTCAAGAGGTGTTTTTAGCATTATGGAGAATGGAATATTGAATTAAAATATGTGACCAAATCCACAAATTGAATTTCATGGTGGGTTAGAGAAAATAGTCAAATAGCTCTTAAAAAAATAAATTGTACAGCATGCAACATTGGAAATAAAATGGATACTGGGAGCAGCTTTGATGAGAAGAACTCGGAGGTGCTAGTGGATGAGAAGCTCAACGTGATCCAGCAGTTTGCGGAAAACTAACCATGTCCTGGGCTGCRCCAAAAGAATCATGGCCAGCGGGCCAAGGGAGGGGATCCTGCCTCTCTGCTTCTCCCYTGTGAGACCCCATCTGCAGTGCTGTATCCACCCCTGGGGTCTCCAACAGGAGAAGTACCTGTTGGCGTGAGTCCAGAGGAAGGTCACAAAGATGATCAGAGAGATGGAGCACCTCTCTTAGGAAGACATGCTGAGAGAGTTGGAATTGTTCAGTCAGGAGAAGGGAAGGCTTCAGGGAGACCCTCTTGCAGCCTTCCAGTGCCTACAGGAGGGCTATAGGAATGCTGGAGAGGGACTTTCTGCAAGGGCATGTAGTGATAGGACGAGGAGGAGTAGCTTTAAACTAAAAGAGGGCAGGTTTAGATTCAATATTAAGAAGAAATTCTTTACTGTGAGGGTGGTGAAGCATTGGAACTGGTTGCACAGAGGATCCCTCATCTCTGGAAGTGTTCAAGGCCCAGGTGGACGGGGCTCTGAGCTGCCTGGTCTAGTGGAAGGTGTCTTTGCCTATGCCAGGGGTTTTGGAACTAGATCATCTTTAAGGGCCATTCCAACTCAAACCACTCTGATTCCAAAATAAATTTACTTAAGTTTGGGTTGAATTGGATTTGTATAGATGAAAAAYGTAAAGGTGCTTTTCATTTTTTCTTCTAGAAATGGTCATGATGCTTGTAGAGAGTTGATTGGATTTTTCTTTGCATGTGACAAATCCCTTACTGTGTATGAATTTCGACAGTTTGGAAAAAACAGGTAGGATAAATTAGTTTTTAAAAAGGTTTCAGAAAACATTTTTCACTATATCTAAGAAGCTTAAATAAATGTAATGGTTTTAATACCAGTTTTGACTTATTTCACAGAACAAATGCCCTTCCATTCATTCAGAAGGGAGTTTATCAACATCATCATGGACAAAGAAAGGGAAAACTTTRTGATCTTAGTGACTTCTACGTTGTAAGTATTCTTCTGCTGAATGTAATTTTTTTGGAAAGCAATATTTGCATATTTGAATTGAAAATTGTTATTTATCTTTCTGGGAAGACCAAAAGTYTTCCCCTTAAAAACGTTTTTTTAATTAAAGATTTTCGGAAGTCTGGGTTATTTTGCTGTCCCACGTTTTAGAGATTCCGATTTAGGTTTCAGACTAGACTGTAGTTTGCAATTTTCCCCCTAGAGGGCACAAGACTGCAGATAGCGTGGACTTTTTGTAGGCGCAATGATCCTCTCGGGAAGGAGTGTTCTGAAGAGAAGGTAGACCAAAGTACTTGTTAAAAGTAAATACTCTTTGCAAGGTCTGCTGGCATTATTAACTCGAAGCAATGATTAAATGTTTTTTAAGCATGAAAAAATCGCAGGTCRATTGTTTTTAACCTGCAATTTGAAATGTGCACCACCAGCTTTTATAGCAAATATAGGAAACAATGTTAAGTTTTATCTACCAGCTAATCTGATGACTGACTACAAATCATATTGCACCTTCTGTACCGCAGTCCTTCTGTACTGGGTTAAGTGTTCATGGTTTATAAATACTTCAGAAGTTTTCAAGTACAGACTGTTTTCACCAAATTGTTCACATGCTCCTGCAAATCTGAAGTTTAGAGCAAAAACCATGTTTGTGTGAAGTGTTGAAAGTAAAAGAAGCCAACATAAGTTTTTAGTGTGTTTTGTCTAATCACATGCTTATCCTAACTGCTTGCATGACCATCTAAGAATTTCAAAGATGAAATAGATGAAWTTATGATATGGAAGGTGAAGCCACTTGTTAGAGATTTTCATATTTTAWTGTCATGTGTATTTATGCAGCCTGCAGATGGAAATGTGTTCTGAATTGAGATGCATCATAAAGTCATCCAGAAAATGTACTGCTTTGAGTTCAGTAGCTCTTTGGAATGATGTTGTGTCTGTGAATCTCTGTATCTGCAATCATGCTTTCTGGGCTGACATTAAGATATGCAGATCTCTCATAAAGTCCTAGTGGTTGAGACACTTGCACAATAACAGTGTCTCTGTCTCCTCCTTCCAAATTCATGAGTTTGGGAGACTATAMGCCAAACCTGCACAGATGTTACAGTTGGAGTTACTCTTTTTTTTAAATTATTCTTTTTATTCAAGGAAAGCATTCTTTGCTTTTATTTTGCTGCTTTTCTCTCTTTCCCCTTTCCTGCTATTTATGAAATATAGGACCTATTTTAAAATCATTGTGTACTTTACCAACAGGGAGCTAATCTAACTTTCCGAAGTGTTGATCATAACCTTCCAGAAAGCGTTAAGCAGATCCCTATCTTCACTCTTCGTGTGATAAGTATTGATGAAGCAGCTATGGATTATCTAAAGTAAGTGCTCCTAACTGCATTTCAAATTACCTTTCCTTTATTAAGCAAAAAAAAGATTTTTTTTAGCTGCTAAAACCTTAATACTTATACTGCTAAAAACAGAATCCATATTTAGGTTGTTAGGAGAAATTAGTTATAGATGTTAGTGGATTTTGCGTAATCCAGTGACTTCCTAGAATAATAAGAAGTAATTTTAATGTAAGAATTGAATTATGAAGCTGTTCTAGTTGCTTTGTTTGAAGTCACATGTTTTTATATACAAATCATATACTGAAAATTGTTATATGTAATGAACGAAAATACTACATCTGTGGAATTTTATTATGATCAACATTATTATTGTTTAATCTTTTGTGATKTGTAGATTTGAAGCTTCTATCATTCATGATAATGGAAGTGTTTTGAACACATGCAGAAGAATCTGAAGGGTTTATCTCTCTGTTTTTACTTTTCCATTTTCTTTTTCCTTCCTCTCTCCTCATTCTTCCAGATATTGCTACATGTTGAAGGCTTCAGGCATTTGGACAGGATTTCTACATTTACTCTTTCAAAATAGTTTTTATTAACTTATATTGTTCCAGAGCTTGAAAAATGAGAATTTTTTAGAACTTTTTCAAATGATTAGGTAAATGGTTAATTTTGAGTATGTATCTCATACCACTATCTATGCAGAAGTGATCAGTCTTGAGAATTAAGTATCTTTCTCTGTGGTTTCTAGCTTTTACTGTATGTATACTGCTTCTTAGCATAAATTAAATCCTGGTATTAAATTTATCACACTGCTGTGCCTGCCTGAACACAGAAGTTATTTAACAGAGTTGGAAATACACTCAGGGTTTGATTTCTCAAATTTTGTGTTAACTGATAGCAGGTTGTTACAAAGTAGAAATTTTCATAAAATCATGGTATCATAGAAAGGTGCCTCAAGAGGGTCTCCTCTCCTGCTCAGAGCTGGGTTCAGTACAGCAGATTGCTCAAGGCTGCATCCAGTTGGGCTTTTACATACCTCCAGTGATGAAGACTGCAGCCTCTCTGGGCAGCCTATCCCAGTGTTCAGTCACCATCACAGTAAAAAGTCTTTCCTTATTGTTCAGAGAGAACCTCCTGTGTCTCAGTTTGTGCCCATTGCCTCTTGTCTTGTCATCAGGCACCACTGAGCAGAGCCTGTCTCAGTTTTCTTAACTCCTTTCTGTCAGGTAGTCATACGTACTTGAGGGTAAGATCCCTCRAGGCTTCTCTTCTCTGGGCTAAACAGTTCAAGTTCCTCCAGCCTCTCCTCATATATCATATGTTTTGATCCCTTCCTGATGAGGCAGAGCAATAATTTTAATCTCAATTAAATATGCTCACTATCTAAAGTCTACTTTGTTAGCAGAACTTTATTATTTTTCTTTCTTGAAGGGTTTAGATACGTGAAGCTTGTTCTTAGTTATGGTAATATTCACTTTAAGTCCCTTTACACGGAAAGCTTTGCAAAGGAACCATAGTGAGCTAACAGTGCATAGAACAGTAAATTCAAATTTAATTCCTTCTAGAAATATATAGTTGTATGATGGTTAGTGCTAATTGCTCCCTCTCGGTAAGGTTTCAGTGAAATAAAACACAATATAGTTTAATTTCAGATAGTTTATGAAAGACATTTTACATCTCAGAAGCCTATTACTCAAGTAAACAGCATTTTCTTTCATTTGTTGCTAATCTTATACCTGTGAAATTTGGAGTTGAACCAATGTTATCTCTGAAGGACCAGAAACAAGACCTGCTCAGTGGGTTCTAATTTTCTGCTATCTATGGATGGAATAGATTATTAATTTTTTTATATCTCTCTGTGTTCTTTCCATTAGTGATTAAATTTCAGTTTTTATTTTCCTTCTATTTGAGGATGTTATTGATCTCTATTCTCTGCTGCAAAACTCTTGAATTGAGTCCTCTGACCTCCATTGCTCTACTGACAGAAAATCCTGTTCAGCTACAGTCCAAAAGGTCTATTGCAGGTTCCCAGGAGCAGCAATGTCCTGCTGTCACGAACTATGAAATTTTGGTTTACATGTGTTCTAGAGGGAGTATATTGTTCTCTGTAGGTGGTTGTTGACTTTTCAGTTTAGGTGATTTGATGTAGGTAAGATTTTAGGGCCTTCATAGTGGGAAGTACCCAAAGTGGAGATGAAACATCCTACTAGATAGCAGAGAGATAAGTCTTTGGCCTCAGAGAGCAGGAGGAGGAGTATGCCATGGCAAAGCACTGGTTAGCAAGCACCTCAGAGTTGACAGTAGTGCTTTTCCATTTGCTTTCATATTCTGATATAAAATAATTATAGGACTTTATTGCTTTTGTTTTGGTTTTTTTTCTTCAATTAGATTCTTCCACAATATTTTTTATCAACCTTTATAATAATTTTTGATGAGGGCTTATGGGAAGCTCTTCTCAGAAGGGATTTTACCAGAAAAAAACCCACAAAATTTAACCATAATTCCTAGATATACTTTTGGTCTACACCCTTGCTATTTGTCTTCTAAAGAGATGTATTTAATGTTCTTTTCCTGTTGGTGATTTAATGTAGTAKCTTTAGCAAACTCTTTCAGTGGTGTGATACTAGAATTGTCTTGAAATAAATTTCTGGAGATTTTATGCATGGGAAGAATTATCCGTAATTATTGAATTACTAGAGGAGATGACAGTGTAATATTGTAGGAAAGGGTTTCTGCATATCTGCAGCTGGTCAGCAAAGGCTGTCGTGAGTCCCTCTCAAACTCAAGAAAGTGGATATTGTGTGCTTATAAGAGTAGTGTTTGAATTAAATATAAAATTCAATATGTTGGGAGTTTTACTACAGCTGTTTTGAATATAGTCATATTACATGTAATTTCACCAATCAACATTAATTTTGATTTCTTTAGAGCTTCCTCTTRGTATTCAAGCAGGAATGTTCCAGGCAAGTGGCTGATGATAGTGAAGTTTTCAAGAAGATTCAAGGTTTGTATCTACCAGAACCCATTTAATTTTAATTTCCTTATCTCTATCTTTACAGCTCAGTGCAATGAACAATAGTGATTACAAAGATTTTATTTGTGTAAATGAAATGAAACAAAAGTTAACTATTTGTGAGAATATCATTAGAATCTGATACCAGCACAAATTAGTCATAAGAATGCTTTTTTCCATCTCTTCAAGTAAACAGTCTGGGTAAAGATCTTTACAATGAGTGTACAAACACTCATTTCATCCATTAATTTTGTGGTAGATACTTCTTTTGGCCATTATTTCTATACATCAATAAGTTGCATTTTAATATTCTGTATTATTATGCTTTTAATTAATCATGAGCATAATGGAGTAGTACACATTGGAATGTGTAAATAAATTCTGCCACTTTCCTATCTACAATTTTTAGGACAAAGGCATAGCTTTTAGTTGAAAATTATGGAAAGATGTTTTTACAGTGCTGTGTATTATTTGTTTAACCTKGTCAACAAAAGCAGTTGATCTGAGCAGCTCAAAGCTTGTACAATCTCCCCTGTTTGCTGTCATTAACTAAACCTGTTTTAAGTAGATATTATTTGGTCACTAGAATCTGCTTGGACATTTACCAAAAAAATGTTGGAATAATAATTAGGGTTATATTTTAATTCCCTAGTTATTCCTTTTTTCCCCTTGCGTAATAGGTACAATCTGACTTTTCAGTTATCTGACTGCATCTAAGGTTTGCTGGTGTGGCCTGGAAGAATGTTGTTTGTGTATACTTCAAGGCATCTTTTAACATATATCTGAGTTTCAGCTTCATTAGAAAAATCTTCGTTCTTTCACCTTTCCCTTATTTGTCTTTAAAATTGTAGGTAGGATTAATTTAAAGMAAATAGCAGGTAAACTGTGTTTACAGAGTATGCTGAGAAACTCAGACATGCCTAAGTAAATATGCTGAAGACTTTCCTAAGTCTTACCACAGAGAGTTGATCTCTGCATATAATTTGGGAATGATTTTGCCAAATTACTAATGCTTGTTCTTGTTTCCACATGTACTTAACAAGTGTGTACAATAAAGAAGCAGGTGTCTCATAATGGAATGTTTGTCTGGTTCTGAAGTGGTTGCTCCAAACATACTTTGTGTGTTGAATCAGGGCRTGTAGTCAGTTCTCACAGAGGTAGGCAGTTTTATAAAGTGAGCAGATATAAGACAATAACCATTTTTTCTTCCCTTTTGTGGTCTCTTTAAAAGAACTTTGTTATATATTGCTTGTTAGACATGCTTTATATGATTTCCACTCAATCATTAAATAACTGATGGTTTCCTTTTGGACTGACATTCCCTCATCAAAGACAATGGAGCCCAAATGCATGGGTACATCTTTCTTACCAGCACCATCATATGCAGACATTGTGTTCTTCACTTCTGTATTGTCTCCATACCAAGAGGACAACTTCAGGCAGATGTGTCCTTTATTTCTCTAAATCCTTAGGTATATTCAGAGAAACACTACGTAAAAGAGGAGTTTGGGTTGTAACAGGCTTAGGAAAATATTTCCGACAAATAGACAAGAACAGAAATGGTTTTCTGGCTCAGTCTGCCTTTAAAGAAGCTCTAAAAGTATTCCATTTGGATATGCCTGAAGGGGTAAGTCTAGTGGCAATTGTAAGTGTGGATATTATCTTTTTCTAATTTATGGAATCTCTTCTTTTTTTGCCTATTGCTGTAGTTTAATACCTGAGTTTTGCATATTTTCCTTTGGATAGTGTTTTTTTTTCTTCCTTGTGGTACATTGGCATTTCTGCATTCAGTTCTATGTGAAGTTCTTAAAGATAAAAAACCAATATATTTTAAAACATGCAATATTTTTACAATTTGATGGAAAGAAGTGGGTGTGATTACAATCCATTTTGTTCTCTTTTGGCTTGAAAAATTTAGTTTATGCTCTTTATTTAGGTTTTTTCTTCGTTTTGTAAGCTACATTCTAAAAATAGCTCACAGCTATTAAAACTGTGAATAATGTCAATGATGATCATCAGTGACCACTGATGACATACATTATTTTTACAAATCTTTAAGTGAGTTTGGATCTAGAAGTTTGGGGGKTTTTCTGAGAATACTGTAATTTTCCAATATAGCTATTGTTTCATTCTAGGATGTAGTGAAGAATTTTGGCAAAATATTTTTTAATTGCAGGACTTTGAATCCATATGGTTTCTTCTTGATGATAGCAAGAGTGATAAGGTCAACTATGGAGAATTTATTCATGCCGTATTTGGAGAAATGAATGAATCTAGGAAAGCATTTGTAAGAAAAGTAAGTTTTATTGCAGATATTCTAAGTGTAAATGTGTTGCAGTCTAACTTTGGAGTTACTCATCATACTCTATTTTCTGGGCTTTGTTGTTTTTCTGAAGTTCTGTACCTGGAAATTGACTTCTTAAAGTTTCAGATCAGTTTTTCTAAATAAAAGTAAATAGTGGACTACATGTCATTTCATTGTTAAATTAGTTAATTTTAAAATCTAGGATTAATTCCTTTATTATTTTGAGTCTTCATGCATATTYGCTTATAGGTCAGTCCAGTGTATAAAGCATTTGGCATCCTGAAGCAATCTCTTGCAGCAGTCTGTTTTCTTATTTTGGCAAATGGCTATATATGTTTAGACTKCTTTCCTGCAGTGTCTGAAACAGGAGGCAGTAATACTTGTCTCTTCTGAAACCTACAGTAAGAGTTATTATATTTGTGAGCCATGTTATATTTGACATTTGTTATTTGTCTATAATATAATGTGGAGCTGTTTGCAGTGTCAAACACTGATCACAAACCAGCCAAATTAGTAGCAACTGGATATCAAGATCAAGAAAAATGACACAGACTTTCATGCTTCCAATCATGGAGGATCTGACTGTCCTAGCCTTACATATCAAGCTTGTGTATTTGATAAACTGAAATGAAAATGAAACTGCTGTTAGCAGTGCTGAAGAGGCTGTRTGGAGGCTTCTGTCAGAATGACGCGGAATCTTAATAATTGGAGGAGGCAGAAGGGAAGCAGCTTAACTTCTGATTCTAAGGGTGAGCTAGAAATCATGGAGAGAAGACAATTTTTTTTGAGTTGACATGGGGACACATATTTGATGTGAAAAGTTTTGAGGTTAAATAATTATGAAACAGCATAATCTAGAATGATTTTCTGATATCCAGCACCTCACGTAAAATAGGTAAATTGATATAATCCATTGCACAAGGTCTAAAAGTATGTGCTAGGTACTTAAATGTGTTTCATCTTTCCATCTTTCCACTCTTTTTTTTCCCCTTAGATGCTTATATGAAACTTTTCTTCCCCTATAGGCTTATATGAAACTAGATTTCAACAAAACTGGGAGTGTACCTATGGTAGATGTCAGAAAATGTTACTGTGCAAAGAAACATCCTCTAGTATTGGCAGGTAATTCACTGGAACAAATAAACAAAGACCTATTACTACTGAAGTCATCTTGTTAGCAGGGATCACAAATCCAGAAATTTGTTGGAAACACAAACTGTTTTCATATTGGCTGAGATGTGAGCCATTAAAGGGRAACTTTTTTCATCTGTGGACTTAAAATGAGTCTCTCCAGAACAGACTATAAATAATAATGGAGTTCGTTTACACAATTTTAATACTTGTTCTTTATCAAGCTACAAACACTGCCTGTATGTAAAACAGTTCTTTTCCCTACCTCTGTAAGCAGTTATTTCTCAGCTTTCATCTGTAAGTTATCAGTGGCAAATACAATATTAAAAATTTTTACTTAATAGGATACTCTCATTTTCACATTGCTGTTTTCTGTCAAGATATGCAAGGATTCCAATTGACACAGAATATACTCAGCACTTGAATTATTTATTTGGAAGGAACTTTATTTCTGGGACAGGTTTGTCATCCTTTACATGGGAAATGCTGGTTTCTTCATTATTTTTTCAGGATTCTCAAAAATATTTAAAGTCTGCCATTGAAAAATAGGAGTTTAAATATTTGTATGTCAGTTTCTAAAACAGTATCTCCATGAACCAAACTAATCACTGGGAAAGTCTCCATGGTGTCATGACCCTTTTATTGTTACCTGTAGAAGAAAGGATTATTTTTATATTGCCAGTGATTTTAATGGTAACACTTGAAGTTACATGGTGGTATAGGAATACAATATGTGATTTTTTTCCAATGCTATAGTGTTGTATTTTTTGTACTTTTTTTCTCAATGTTATAAAATAATCTTGAGTATTACTTTTATAAAATCGATAGGACACAGATGTAAATTGCAGGACACTTTTCCTGCCAATTTCCATCTTAAAGTTTTCCTAGAACTTTGACGTTTTATTACAGTAGACATAAGCTTTTTTATGATGTCAAAATTTTAGTTGACAAATGTGTTTGGCAGCTTTTGCAGTCATTTGAAGAAAAAAAAGCTTCCTGACCTCATAATTCATTGCAATTGGCTGACTCCATGTTTTCTGTTGATACTTAATTCTGYCATGCCATTAAAGTAGGTAATTTCTACAGATGGTATTAATTGAACCAATGACTTAATTCTGAAGTCAGAATATTGAATTTGCTCATGAAAAAGAATCTGCAAGCTAAAATTCGAAAGTTTCTTGCCTGAAGTATATTAAATGCTACATATTCACTGTTCTTTAAAATGTGTTTAATAGAAGAATATACTTTCATAGGCAAAGCTGCAGAAGAAGAAATTAAATTGTCATTTCTAGAAACATTAGGAGAGTCATGCAGCAACCCCAATGAAGTGTCCTATTCTGAGTTTGAAGATTACTATGAAGGATTAAGTTTTGGAATCGTGAGTGATGATGATTTTGTTAATATCCTAAGGAATTCGTGGGGAATTTAGAGTGGAARACGACAAAAAGAAGAAGGGACATTTTTTAAACAAGAGGAATTTTTAAAAGAGGAATTAGTCTTGATGTGCATTACTTTATAATTACTGTCTGAAACTGATTTTAGGGTCTGAAAACTTTAGATGCTTTCAGARTAATAGGTGGTAAATTTCTTTAATTGTCTGTTGAGTTATGGTAGCCAGTCTTCTAAGAAAAATACCGTTCATGTCTTTTTATTGGAAATAATTAAGGCTGTTTCCCATACCAAAAGCCATAATGTTTTTATATTAGAGTAAAGTAGCCTATTTTAAAATAAGAGGGAATTAGAATACCAAAATGCCTGAAGGGTATGTGCAAGAGAAAAAAATTTTTTTAATGATGCATTGTGAAAAGTTTCAGATTTGACTGCATAAATATCAATGGTAGCTTTTCTTCAGAAATTTTCTTACAACATTCTTTTTCTTGTGTATTTTTTCTTATGCTGGTACTTAGCTTGAAAGAGAGCAGGTCTTCTTTTTCCAGTTTCAAGGTGCAGAGGTGTTCACAGCATTTAGCCCCTTGGCCTGTGCACTATCTTGGCTGATATTTGTCATTTTGGTCAGGCATCTGAAGCTGAGCATTGAATCTCAAAGGTTTTAGTAATCACATAGGTATTTTGTAATGCATATCTTCTTTTCCTGTATTTTACTAAGTGATTTTCAAAACAAATATTTTATATTTAAATACTTGTTTTCTTTATACTGCTGTGTCTTTTTTAACTAAAATTTAGCAACTATATATTTTATCAAACTGATATATAGCATTTCCTATCAACTCTGAAAGTATGAAAAAGAAACATATTTAAAAAAGACCCCAAAACAATCACCATAAAAATTAAATCATAAATTAAAATATTCTTTGCTACTTCAAATGTTCTGACAGAATGTTCTGATATACTCTTTTCAATGTAATGTGTCTTGTTAATTCTGTAAGACTTTTTGTGCTAAGAAATAAAAACATATAGTTAATGAGAGAGAGAGACACTTCAGTTTTGATAGACCTGTCACTGAAATTAACTGTATGCTGAACTGCATTTCGTAAACCTGTGCAATTAAAATATATAAGTTTCCTCTGAGCTTGAGTGTCTGGTTTTGAATTTATAGTCTGTGGTTAAAAGAACCTTCCTCTAACACAGAATTTGTGTTTCATAGAAGGAAAGGGCAATGGATGCTGAAATGAGGGACTTTGGTCCCCCGGGGTTAACTAGTTTTGCCTAGATATAGTACCTCCTTGTTCTAAAATCTTGTGCATTTTTATTTTAGACTGTTTGACTTTGCCCTCAATCGTAACAAGTATCGGAGGTTCTACTCTAGGTCCTCAAATGAGGGACTTTGGGGGATTCTTTTGGGGCTGCAAAAGTCTGTATGTATTGCTTTCTAGGGAAAGGCAGATTTTGTCAATGCTTGTTCTGAGCAAGAATTTTGACTCATGATTTTCTTGTTGCCCATTCCTGGTGGAATTTCTCTCACTGGAAAGGTTTTGTTAATTAGGGTTGTTGAGGAAAATACTCTGAAATTACCTGAAATGGTAATTAAGCATTGGCTGCCCAGAGAGTAACCATCCCTGGAAGTGTTCAAGAAATTACTTGGCACATGGTGGTGTTTGGTCAAAGGTTGGACTCTGTGATCTTGAACGTCTTTTCCAGCCTTAGTGGTTCTGTGATCAGTAGCTGCCTCAAAACATCAGATGTGATATCTATGGTGGATTTTTAATGCAGTCACAAAAGTCTCTGCCCACAGTCTCTCATTGTTTAAACTTCAGATGGTGGCAAAGAATTTGAACCAACTGCTACTCAAGGTTTGCCCACCACGCTTACTGTCAGCAGAAAAACACAGAAATTATTCAAACCAAGGTCTGTCATTGACTTTTCATTAAGAGTAGTCTCAGTGCCCTGATTGTGTTCTGACTTGATCTTATTTACTTGTGAACATTTAATGAACCTGAATCCTTTTCTTTAATCAATGTTTTGTAGCTTTTAAACTTTTGGGAAATATCTGTGGGGTTTACTGCCTTTCAATGTATTTCAAACAAAACTTTCTACATTTGCTTCTTTTTTAACAATTACCCATGTTTTCCAAATTAGAGTATGTTCTTAGTTAAAGTAGGGTTCTCAAAGAAGCTTCTTCACTGAAATTCACTGCTTAATAAACTGATTTTCTTCATGCCACCATGACTTAACACTTCTGCTAAAAAGTTGTAGCAGCTTGCTGTAATTGAGAACATTGGAAGTGCATTATGGTGTGAATGTATTTTGTCCTATTAGATGTGCAGGCTCCCAGAAGACAAGTGGAAATTAGTTAAGTGATTTAAATCCTTATTCTTAAGGTCTGTAACTACTTCATGAAATGAATATGCACTGACACTAAGCTGGAATGTTTAAGAGTGCTTTGAAAAATCAAAGCACAGGCACACAGAGCAAAACCTTCAGTAACTTCATTTTGCTGGTGGAAATACAGCATCTTCACCAGGGATGGCATTGTTGCTGAGAGGAGGCATTTTTACTTCACACTGAAAAGCTAAGAATTATTGCCAGCTGTTAAAATTGTGTGTGTCTTTGTGGGCAGAACAAGGAAAAGATTAAAAATGTATCTACTACTGTGTGTTTGTAGGGAGGAGTTGTTTACTTTTGGAGTTTGGTTATTTTGTTTCTATGGGCTTTGGTTATTTGATTTGTTGGGGTTTTTGTTTGTGCATTTTGTTTTTTTTTATTGTGTAAGGGATTTTTTGGAGTTTGCTGGTTTTAATTTTTGTTTGGTTTGGTTTTGAGCATGCTATCTCTACATAGTAAAAAGCCTAGAACTGATTTCTGATGTGTTGAAGAAAGCAGGTAAGTTTCTGTGGCAGAAAAAATGGAAGATGGACAATCACATGCATTTTTTTCTGGATATTATTTTAATAGTTTATCCTTCTTCTTCATACTTAGATTCAGAGACTGAGATAGTTCAGTACTTGCTTTTCATGTTGTTAACCATCTTGTCTTTGAGAAGCTACTCTGTTGTAACCATCAGACATCTCCAGTGATGCAAGAGGTATATTTRGGCTATTTGTTCCACAGGGGACATTTCAAAATATTAACCAAACTGGAAGGTTCTTAGGAAAGAAATGTGGTAAGACATTATGAAATGGCACAATGACCCTATGAAATAGTTTGTTTTGTGGCTCCCGTACTTCTGTGGGGCACCTTTTTCACTGAGAGGAACTTGAAGCCTAAAGTTGACTAAAAGTACCTTTGAGGAAAAAAAAAATTAGATCTGTTTATCACAGGTTTCTTAACATTTATGAGAGCATCTGTTGTATTTACCTGGAAYTTATAGTATCCGGTTACCTCTTTTCTGGCTATTTTTCCCTCCTCTCTCATGTGTTAAGTTTTGCATGGAATTAATGGCAAATGTGCACAGAAACCTCAGTATCAGCATTTGTTGCCACTGTCATAGTTTGGTGTGTCCAGTCTCCTCAGAGAAGCAGCTTCAAGATAAGGAAAGTAATTGCCATTTCTTCGTGGTTTGAATTCTTGCAGGCTGCATTCTCATTAAAGATGTTTAATATTTTAATGTTTTTTTGCTGGCTTGTACATGTTTTTTTTAGCTCCTGTCTTCTGATCTTTTACTATCAGGGAGACTCCACAGCCTCTCTGGCAGTCTGTTCCAGTGCAATCAACTGTAATCAGCCCTAATCCTAGCAGCATCTTGGGGTTGAGCCTGAGAACCCCAGGACGATGGGAGTCCGCAGTTACAAAGGTGTGAAAGGAGCAATGTCCGTGCTGAGCTGTGCTCCCCTTGGCATGCCTTTTCTAGTGCTGGTATCCCTGGAGCTGTAGGCTTTGTGACACTCTAAAGCCTTACACAAACCCTCATGGTGCCTGGGGGCTGAGGTTCTCAGCAACCTGGGTGGCCCACATGAGGGGTCACAAAATTCACTTGGAGGATAACTGCTTTACACTGCTTGATACTTCACATGGAGGAGCCCCATTCCGCTATAGTAAAGCACAGGTTAATATCAGTGGAAGCTAAAATAACACCTTTGGAGATGTATCTTAAAGCAATATTCCTTTTTTCTTACAACCTAAGTTGACTAAGTGAACACTTAATCACTCCTGTGTCTAATTCTGGGATCCTGTGATTTGTCTTAGCATGAATTAAATCCTGCACTCACAGTGGTAAAATTATTCCCCTGAAGTAATTTCTTTTGACAATAGCATTTGCCTTGCAGATGCAGTGATTAACTGCAGGTTTCAGTTGTTTTCATTCTCTAGGCATGCTTGAATTCTCCTCCATTCTCAATGTTTAATGACAAAAGGAAACAACAACAGAAGTCAAACCAATGCTTTTATTTTTCCCTTAAAACAATCATTTTGGAAGTGTCTTATGTAGCAACATAGTTTAAACCAAGTTATAATATTCTGCTTTTTATGGGTTTAATATGCTTTTGAGAGATATCTGTTCTAGGTAGTAGTGTTGCACAGATCCATAATCTTAGTTATTTATTTATTAAAACCAGCACAGTGAAAAGGGAATCAGTTGTCAGTGCCAGATAATTAACTTTCCATATGCCGTGTGTTTCTTTTCTGACACTTTGCCCCTTATTTGAGATTATGTGATTTGTAAGTTCTCTTCCCAATTTTATCTTGGTATGCCTCCAAACTTTCCTTTTGGGAGCATTCTTCTTGGAAATGAGCTTCTTCAGTAACAGCCATAATGCTAAAATACGTTCGAAAATCAAAATATGAAGTAACATTTAGAAAGAAAAATCTCTGGGGAAAAGGAAAGGAAACAGGGAAGATAGAAGCTAATAGTAGCTGCAATGGCATTAGTAGTCTTTAATATGTTTTTGTTCATTCATATCTTTTGACTTCCCTCTTCCTTCTGGAATACCAGTCATGAAGCAAAGCCTACTCTGTGGTATTGGTCAGTGTAAATACTCTTTCTTACCTAAAGTCAGAAGAAATCTGTCTGGAAGAGATTTTACAAGGTTGTCTACTCCATTATCCTGTATTAGCTGGAAAAACCTGATGTGCTGCTTTCTCATCTGTGATGGAGGCTCCACCACATTCCCAGGTAATCTGTTCTGTTGCTTCACTGTTAGAAGTTGCCTGCTATTGACCTGAATATTTCTTGCTTTGGTTTAAGCTGATTACTGTTTCCGCTATCTCCTCCTTTCCTTATGTAACAGCTTTGAAAACTAGTATTACATCCCTTTTGATCTGAAGTCTGCTAAATATGATTGTTTAGAAAAACTGTATTAACTGGATGGATTGAAGACCATTCTCATTTTTCTCCCATAAGTGCCARTTGGTGCTTTCCTTTTGTTGAATGGAATGTTCTGCACAAGGTATGGTGCTCTGTTTAAGGTCTTGCCAGTGATGTACTTGCATTACAGATCTTACTTTTATATCCAATATCTTTTTTCTCGTCTTTCCTTTCACAACAACCTGATTTTATTAAGTATTGCTAACATTGTGGTTTTAACCTACAAATTTTCTTGTCAAGAACTGATTTTTCTTGCATCATTTCAGTTGAAGTGAAATGGTGAAGTTCTGCCACACTTAGAGATATGGGGAGATGTTTCTGCTGGAAAACCTGGCCTTGAGGGTCTCAGTTGTACTTACGCTTCTTTTCAGGCTGCTAACAGGTTCACATCAGCTTTACCTGACTGGAAGTATTATTTCTCCTTCCTAGTTTTGCTTCATAGGATACACATCTGTGAAATCCACAGCATAAGCATGGAATCTTTTAATGGAAAATAAAGACGAACTAGACAATTCTATTTTTTAAATTATTATTTTTTTACGAGCAGGGGTAAGGGTAGAGGAAAGCTGAACCA